AAAGTTACATTTTAGAAAACAGAAAATACATGGACAAATGAAAATTGTCAGAATTCAAGATAAGTTGCCCTTGGAAAGGAAATTAAAACAAACAATAGTGTAACAACTGAAATGAGAACAAGGAAAGAGGAAATGTGCCACTATTCTGAGAATGGTGTAGAGATCAAGGATAATCTGGATTAGGTCTGAAACTCTGTGGGTTTTTTTTTTCTTCTCAGCATTGGGTAATAATGGTGATGCCAACTATGAGGACAGGAGTCAAGAAAAGTGCAGGTATGGAAACTGAATACATCACAGCTGTTCAGTAGGTTATTATGCTCAAACTGGGACACTTGATAGTCTCCATCCCAAGATTTTGAAAGAACTGGTATCTGAAATTGCAAGAATAATAGTGAAGCTCTCTAATAAACCCTATGAAGTTGTGAATGGTGTAGCCCGACAGGGAGTTAGCAGAGGCCACACCTATGTTTAGGAAGGCAAAAAATGTAATCTTGCTAATTGTAGACCAGTTAGTCTTTACTGTGAGGCTTTGAAGTAAATCCAGAAAGAAAATATATTTAAAGCCTGGACCCATCGACAGTGGGGTGAACTACAATTTGCAGCCAAGCAAGATGATGCAAGAATTCTTCTTTGATATGATAACTGTTTTTTTAGACAAGGAAACTAGTTATATGTAAGATGTCACATAAATAAAGCTTCTGATTTGGTGCTACATGAAAAAGAATTAATTATAATAGAGTGTGCATATGTTATTATTTTACAAGCAGATAACAAGCTTGATCTAGGAAATGCTGCTTACTGTTAACTGTGTTCACCTAGCATCTGTCATTTGGAAAGGTGGGTGGGTTGAGCTCATGTCTGTCTGCAGAATATCACGTACCCTCAAAGAGGATGAGGGATTAGTCAAAGACAAGTAAGGAATTAGCAGGGAGGCAACAATAAACATGTTGGAAAGAAGAAGCGTTAAGGTCCAAGGATTTTGTTAGTGGAATTTCTCTCCAATTTCTCACCAGTTGGTGTTGGACCATTTTTCTTTAATGTTCTCATTGAGAACCTTGGCATGAAGAGTACAAATGGAGCAACAGTGTACAAATGAAATTGACTGATGACACAGAGCTGGGAGATATTGGCAATAGAAATTCAGTTCAAGGTATCTTGCAGAAAGGTTGGAATGACATGAAGTATTGGAAAAATAAAAGCAGTGGGGTGAAATTCAGTGATACCAAATACAAGGTCACACATTTAAGGATGAATAAGAACAACTGCTGTGAGCTGGATAGTATCAGTGGACAGGAGAATAGACAGACAACAGAAGGTGACTGTGGGTAGAAGAGATGCACAAATGTATCAGATAAGATGTTTCCACTGGACGTAAGGAGATATTGCTACCAGAGCACCAGTCAGAGAGATTTCTGGATTGATCAGGAGAACGGTGTGCCTACTTATCGAGAGGTAACAGAAAAGTTTGTAGTTTTTTAGCCAACCTAAGGAAAGAATAGGTGGAAATGTATGTGATCTCTATAAATGTATATGCATTTGGAAAAAAAAAATTTCAATAAGAGAATAAAGCTATTAAGCTTTATTATTCTAATTCATTCAATATTTTTCCCTCTGTTGGCTATTTAAAAGCATTATAAAAATCATCTCTTACCTGTGGCGAGTCTGCCAGGATAGGGGGCTGTGTGTTCGTACCTCTTTGGATTTAATTAGAGGTGCAGGTATTCATATTTGACCCTGGAGTAATTAGGAAAGGATAAATGCCAATTTTACCCTCTGTTTTTCTTAAGTCTTGTATTTTTCCAACCCGTGGGACTATTAAACACATAGCATTGTTTGTTTAAATATTTTGAAATAAAAATAACAGCAAAAGGATCAGTAATAAGATTTCTTATTCAAAATCTGGCTATTTTAACTTTGATATGTAGCAATTAGCGATTAGCTGTAATTAGAAAATTCAGATTTTCTACAAGTAACTGTGCTGCAATGCAAACTCTCATAGGGTTTCTTGGGAGAAGTGTAGAAACAAGAATTCTCTTTTGCAAGAAATTTGGGGGTCGGGGGGAGGGAGACATCCATCCACATAAAAACAAATGTGAGAGCATTGGAACTTGCGGTCAAAACAAAATTGTGAGGAAGAGACCACCACGTTGCAATGACAGACTACCCTTTCAAGGTTAAACAGAAACTTCATCGATGGTGACCTATATCCCAAAGGATAGACTCACCACTGAATTGTCTGTTTTAGAGAAAACCTCCACCAAAGCAACCTGAGTGTAATTCTTTTTCTTATTGCTGCTCTTTCTTTCCCCTGCTCTCCAGAAAAATTAAATCAAACCTGATGCATTTTTGTGAAAAGTTCTGATTTCCACATGCTGACAGTTTCTAAAGAAATATTTTGTCAAAAAGTTCCCGAACAGCTATTGCTATTACTAGAGGTGAGCTCATTTAGGATTATTGCCGTAGGCACCATGGATGGATTTCAGTATATGTTATAGGAGTCTTCCATCTATTTTATAATAGTACAGACCCTGTTATTTTATTTAGCAGTTTAACTTGATGATGGACAAAGTTCTACTTTCCTTCTAGTAAAGGAGGGCATCTTTCATTTGTGAGGGTATTTGCGTCATATTTGCACTCTTCAGTGTTCAGGCCCCTGTGTGATGGGTCCTTCTGTGGTATGGTGGCATACTGTGCGCATATATTCCTATGCTGGAATTTTTCTTGGTCTCACACAGCTCGCCATTACCTGCAGCTACTCAGGAGGTTAACAAATGTTTCACTTTTATTCTCTTGGGTTTTTGTAGCTTTTTGTTTTGTTTTGTATTTTAATCCAAAGCACCTGATCCTGCTGTCATTTTTACTGGTAAATCAGATGCAAACCCAGTCAAATCAGTGCAGTTTTCCTTACCAAAAGCTAGCATAAATAAGAGTCTCTCACTCTTTCATGACTTTTGTCCTGAAAAGCAAGTGGAACATTAGTTGTATTTTTTTATGATAGTTCTCCAAAGAGACTAGCCGTTAATCTCTCTGTGAGTAGGTGTGTCTGCTGCAAACATTTCCTTCCAGTCTACCATTTCAATCACACTTCACAGTACACTGAAAATTGGCAAGGATGTTAATTATTGGCCTCTAGAACAAACCACCTACTTTGATTCAAGCATGTTTTTCCAATTTTTAAGAATGTTGTTTCACCTACAGTACAGTATAATTATAGAAAATGGCTTGGTTTGGCTAACATTCTTGTGTTCTGTGAGTTCTGCTTGCAAGGCAGTAAGCAGCACCAAGCGAGTGGCTCACCTGCAGAGGATTTTAACCTCTTACTGGCAGGAGTTAGGGCTTTCCAGCTTCCAGTATATTGTTTTCAGTTTTAGAAGGTCTAAACCACTGTCACTTGGAGGTTAAACATTAACACTTTTTACTTTTAAAGCTCAAAATAGTACGATTGTTTTTATTCTCAGAGGAAATTACTGTTAAAAAATCTTATAAATGTGTTAGAGGAGCAGTTACAGTGGTGGGTCTTGTACTCCAATAATGCAAAACCCAGCGTGCAACATGACACACTGAGCAGTACAGTGCAGACCAGGACATGACTGAGCAACCAGCAGGATAAATTGCTCATAGATGACTGGGAGTTGACAAAAAACAGTGAAACACCTGTCTGGAAGACAAACAGGAATAGACAAACAGGAAACAAAAGCAAGTGTTAAGCCTCATTTTAGATGAGAGATTTTGAGGCACAGAGAGTGAGTTGTTCATGATTATATAGTGAGTCTGGCAGAGCTAGGAGCTGAGCTCTATGCCTTTCACTTCATGTATTCCCAGCTCATATAACAAGCCCTTAATTTACCAAGAAACTTTTTCTGCAGCACTGTCCTGAAGAGTTAGCAGAATTCACAGTCAGCATTTCTCGTGCATGTAGCTCTTGGTTTGAGGCTCTACAACTTGTAACTTTAATAACTTACACCATAAATTAAAAACATTGGAATGATATGGAAACCAGTCCAATGCTCAGGCTTATGTGTTAGAGAATTGCTCTGCAAGACCAGTCTTATTTGTTGTTACAACAATTAATCATCTTCTGGTTATAAAATAATTAAGATGGTACCAGGGCCCTCAGTGGAGTCCTGCAGTGCTATTGAAATTGGACATTTTAAAAGTAATGGTGATCAAGCTATAGAGCCATATTAAATATACATGAGTACTTATTTCTACTTCCTCCTTAACCATAACGCCATGTCAGGGCTGGCTACCTTCCTGGTCTTACAAGCCACATACAGCAATTTCCATAATGGTTATGAGTCACAAGCCATTCACAGCATGCTGTGAATAAACAAAAGGAGGGAGAACATCCGGGATGGTTCACAGGTGGGAGATGGTAACAGTTTATCAGGGATTCCCTCACACCATTATAAGGCAGATCCAGGATGAGAACTCACCCAAATCCCAGAACAATCCAGTGACACCTGTCTTAGCAGCCCCTGCTGGCTCATTTCCTACGACAACTCAAGATGTGAGTTAACCAGCAGCCCTCAGGCAGTGCAGCTGAGCTGCTGGTAATATCATGTAGCTCCAGGACAGGAGCTGCACACGAACAGTATGAGAGCCACATGCAGATGAAGAGCTCCAGCTCAGCAGTTTGTGGCTCAGTGCCTTGCTTAGCTCTCTAGAGTATGTTGGTCAACAGGTTGCACTTGGATAATTAAATAAATATGAAATATATTTGTTGACCAACACTTGGCTAAACTGAAGAAATTATCTAGCCTTTGCCATTCAAAAAGTTTACTGTACATGTGAGGGAAACTGTACAAAGCATTATCCTGCTGGAGAAAAAAAATACAGTTACAATACTATAACAAGAAAGGGTTTTTTCAGAAGAGTTGAATAGGCAGTGTTGCAAAACAGTATTACACTACTGAAGGGCTGAAAGGAACACAAAGATTGTTACAATGTTTTCAAAGCAATACAGATGATCTGACAATCATTGTCTTATCATATTGCAGGCAGAATTGATAACCTTGCAACAAGAAAAAGAAGCTGTTCTTCAACAATGCAAAAAACTAGAAGAAGAAATCCAGACACTGCGTATTTATTACAGGTAAAATAATTAATACTAAATGCAAATCAGTGACTCATGGGGAAAATTTTCTGCACTGTTTCATGACTGTAAGTGAGGAAATGGCCTTATCAAACAGGTATTTGTTGGAAATGTGACTATGTTAATGAATCAAGGCCTGCACTTCTGCTTTACTGCTCACCAACCGTCTCTTTGAAATACAAGTCCTTTTCACATGGCCTAAATATTCTATTAGTTTCCTTTAAGGGAAAGAGAAAGTTGCTATCAGTTAATTCTCATAAAAAAAGAAAAAGCTATGTCATAGCAATGCATTCACTTAAAAGCATGAGGATGAAAGGACCAGATGGCATAAGTGGTTATTTCTTCCCTGGCTGTTTGCACATGCTTAGCTTTATCAACCTATATTTTAAAATAATAAAATCTGTAATTTTAGAAAACAACTTTCCTTTCTAACCCCCAGCATAATATATATATTTTAATTACTTACATTTTTTAGCAATAAAAAGAATGAGAGCAGTAGCCATTCTCTCATTAATTTTGGTGGGCTATACTGAACATTTCCATGGATCACTGAGGAAAAGCTCTGTGTGGTCCAGTGAAGGAGTTAGGTTGTTTTATGGAGTGATGTTGGGTTACAGCTCTCATTTCATCCTGACCTCCTGTATGCGGGGGTATACAGAGCTGCCAGCAGGTTTGAGGCAGGAGAACTGGCATCAACACAGCAGAAAATTGTGAATCTGAGGGCTGAATGTCTGTGATGAGGGATGTGGGCTGCAGAGGTAAATAAAAAATGCAGTGTGAATATTGTGTTCATTGGAAATAAAGGGAATTAGTTAGTCATAACCAAAAAAACACTTGCAACAGCAGAACCGTGTATGTTTTCAGTGTTTCAGCATTTGCAAGTGAAAAATACTGAGGTTTCTAGAGGTTTTTAGAGCTTCCCTTTCTCATTAAGTTTATTAAAAACTTGGAGGGAAGTTTCAAAAACAACTTTTGTTCCTAAATTCCATAGGCATTTATTTAAAGCCTGTTAATAGTCAATAGAAACCCCAAGCAATTTGTGATCATCGCTTTTAATTAATTTGGTCAGCTTTTAGGCTACACATATGTTATAGTATGATTTGCCAAGCTAAAAAAAATTTATTATCGTGCCCTTATTACTCACTTAAATGGGATTTTTTGGATAGTTTAAAAACAGAAATGCAATTTTTATAGTGGTATTTCAGAAATTAATAGTTTATGTGTGTTGGTGCCTGCACATTGCAGAATGTTTCTCACTGACTTTTCTTGCAGCCGTGTTGTTAAGATAATATGTCAAGCTTGCTCTACCATCAAATTTGGCAAATGCTACAGTATATAGCAGACAGTTTATTTATGCAAATGCTTTAAATTTTGGTAGTGTTAATATTAAAGACTTGCAAGAATCACTTTTAGAATGTACCATGTTATTAAGTTATGGCCATTACTTTGAACAGGCAAAATTTCATTGCAAGTTTGATAATTGTATTTTGCAAGATGTACTCCTTAGGTGTGTAAATATATATCTGAATACCCCTTGGGGCAACAATCTTTGCATCACTCCTAAGTTATACAAGTTATATAAAAATTCTTAGCATCAGAAATGAAAGATTTTGTATTGTACTTCACTGACCTGAGAGGATGTTTTTTTAATGTACTTTAAAGCAGACCCATATATGTATATGTCATCAAGAAGAACTAGAAGACAGCTTTAGATTAGTCTAAAACTTTTGCAGAAGTAAAAAGAGGGATGGCAGGACACATATATTTGTTTTGAAAAGTAAGTTGAAAATGACTGCATTTTAATCTCTGGTTCTTACTGGAGAGTAAATCTACTCACCTTACCTGGTTAATTAGTCATGTTTTCTGAGGAAGAAACTTTAAAGTCTAGAGGGGTCAGAGGTATGTTGTGAATATGGTTTTATTTCTTTTTTTTTTTTGAGGGGAAGTGGTCACAATCAAGTAATGCTACATTCCAAGTTTCAGCCAGCTTAATAATAATGTCCTCTAATAAAGGTGTGCTCAAGGTCTCTCTTGATTTGCAGTGCTTCCTTATATTTCCAGTTATTAAGAATGGATACAAGCTAAAAGTGCTCTCTAAACATAGCGTGTTGTTTTCTGCCAGCAGAACATCATTTAGTTTTCCATATAACAATGACAGTGTGTATTAGGTTCCCTATTTTTTTTGCTAGTGATTGTAACTAATTTTCTCAGTGCACCATGTAGTATTTGGTAAGTTTCTAGCATGTATTCTGTTCACATGAGGAGCACAAGTTAATACTTGTGATGTGAGATGTGTCTTTTCTTCTTTTCTAGACTGTACCCCAACAGAAATATTTTAAAATTTGTCTCCTGGGACCTTCCTATTCATTGCTTTCTAGTTTCCTTGTCATATTTGAGGTCTCATGCCTATCATTAGCCTGGGTTAGAAATTAATTGCGTTATTGTGAGGATTCTTATGAACATATTAACATTTCAGTTGTAGTTTGGCATATGTTGCATGAACATCAGCCGCCTCTGTCATCCAATAGTCTGATAGGGTAACATACCTTTGAACACACACTGAAGACAGATGAAGATAGATGAAGAAAGGAATATATGGCACGTGTGCATAAAGCCTAGGGGACCATATCAAACCAAATGTGGGATGACCACGATAATCACGAATGGCAAAGCAGAGAGCACGTTCCTCAGGGCATTCTAAATGAGCGACTCTAAATGAATCTCTATTTTGTATGTGCAGGCTATTTAAGGAGTGTTTAGTTTTTATTTTACTACTTGCCACACAGTGGTAACCTAGAGTAAGTACTGAAAGAGGTCTTCAAACAGCCTATTTGGGGATTTTAAAAAGGCTGGGTGAAACTTTGACCCAGGTGAGTTAGCTGGAAGAGTTACTTCTCAAGACTGCCTTACCCTGGAGTTGCTTCTCTTTTGGACTTCAGAGTTCCCCAGTCCACCTCCACATGTTCCAGTCCTCATCCACCTCCACATGTTCCAGTCCTTATCTGAACTGTACAGATGCAGTGGGACATCTTAATACTGAGAGTACACACTTCCTTTATCCACTGTTCTCTCTTCCCTTTTCCAGTTTCTCCCACTGTCATCTCTGTGGTACCTTTCCCAGTATGTCAGCAGCTTGGGAATTTTTACTCCATTTGGTGCCTTCTCCTGCTTCTGCTCTTAGGTTTTCATCCTTAATAAAGAAATTTTATCATCCTTTTCTGTTTGTTTCCTAGTTCTAACTAAGATTTACACATCATCTTTTAACTTGGGAGGAAGAAATTTAAGAAAAAAACAATTCTAGAGGCTGATGTTAAAGTGTATAAGAAAACCCTAAAGGCGTGCCTTCATGCACAACCACCATTTTAGGATTTTGGCATAAATATAATGACTGTACACATGGATTAGCTATTTTTGAATGCATACGTATGCACATAGTAACATCAGAATGAGTATTTTTACAGGATTTTTCTCTAACTAACATTAGTAAAACAAGAAAAGGCTGAATATTATTTTATTAGAACAAAATCAGTCAGGAAAGAGATAAAATCCGGAATATCTGTATCTGTGAAGATGCACCTGTATGTGCACAAAAGTATGTTCAAAGTAGGGAGCAAGTGGAGACCTTCAGAAAAAAACAATCTTGTTTTTTCCTCTAGGAGGGAGATTCCTTGTATCTAGAATACTGTATCCTATTTGGGGACCCCCAGTACAAGTAAGACATCAATAAACTGGAGCAAGCTTGGCAGAGAGCTGCCAACATCGTCAGGGGCTGCAGTGCTTGCCCTGTGAGGAGATGCTGAGTGAACTGTGCTTGTTCAGCTTGGAAAAGAAAGAGGTAGCTTCAGGGAGGCCTGCCAGTGTTTGTAAGGAGGTTATCAAGAAGGAGAGATGCAGGGTCTTCACAGTGATGTGTGGCAGAAGGGCGAGAGATAACAGTCATGAATTGAAGGAACAGGGATTCAGACCTGATATAAGGAAACCACAAGAACAGTAAAGCATTGGAACAGGTTCCCCAAATGGGCTGTGCAGCCTGCATCCTTTGAAGTTTTCAAGATCTAACTTGATAATGCCCTGAGTGATGTGGTGTGATCTCATAGTTGATCTTGCTTTGAGCGTGAGGTTGGACTAGAGACCCCCTGAGGTCACTTTCAGCTTGAATTATTCTACGATTCTGTGATCAGGTAGCTGCTGGTGTTTGAAGCCATTAGTTTTTTCTCTAACTATGAAAAAAGCCAGTGTTGCAAACTGTACTTCTTCACAGATGTGGCTCCTACATGGAACAGGAGTTTTGTGGAAGATAGAGGCATGGCCTGCAAGACCCAAAGCGAAATTAAATAAGTTTTGGGGAAAAAAAAGATGGAACATTTATTTCCATCTGAATTTGGCTTTCTGAAGAGAGGGCATCTCAGAACAATTCCAGCCTTCTTTGAAAGGAAAAGTAAAAAGAAGGGAAAAAGAAAAGGAGGAGGGATCTAATTCAGGTAGAGAACAGGGAGGAAGCTGGCTCAGAATGAAGTTAGGCAAGTACTCTGCTTCTGTCTTTTTGTATTGTTTCATGTCTCAAAAAGAAAGTTGCATTTGCTGGAGTGTAACCTGAAAATGCATATCTGAAACCAAAATTTGCATAGCAGAAAAAGTATAGAGGTCCTAGCTTACTGCGGTAATTGTTTCACAGTTGTACTCTTTAAGCTAAGTCTTAATGTAAATCCTAGAACCTCATGGACTGAAGAAGGCTATATCGGAATAATCAGTTCGGAAGTATGTGTCAGTTTTAATCCTGCTGCCACTCTCTCATCTGGCTCTGTTTGAATATCACCGTAAGTTTTTAATTTGCATATTATTCAGTTACATGGTCTGTGCATTTTTATCACCAGTTTCTTTCTTTTTCAATAATATAAGTAAAACAAGGTTTTATCTCTCTCTGTACAGAATTGTTTTAGGTCTTCCCATCCCACTTTCTGCCTTCCACTAGTATATGAATAAACGTGAAGGCTTCAGAA